GTAAACGGAATTGGATATATTAGTATTCGAGATGAAACTGTTACTTAACATGTTTGTGGTAAAATAAATCTTAGTTATGATTAAATATATTGGTCTTACCACAAAAAAAATGAACAGTCTGTCTAAACAGAATTTAACAAAATACTGTTTAAGCGATTAAATTTTATTTAGTTGGTGTAATAATATTAATTTGTAGTTTTGTGTATTAAAATCTATGTGTTTTTGATAACAAATTTAATAAACGAGCAACTTCTATTTTTAATATTAATTTATTTTGTTTAGACATAAATATAATAGATGTCCGATACGGTTTAAGTAATAAGATTTAAAAAGTATTAAACACCTGTCTATAGAAAGTTTAATTTTATTGTTCTTTATGACATTAAATGAACTACATTTTTAAACGACTCATAAAATTAAATTAATGTAGGTACCTACTTAAGAAAATGAACGGTCGCTATACAAAAAATAAAACAAGGAAACAGTGAAAAGTTTGAAAGTTTAAACTAAGAGAATCTTTACCAATATACCTAAGATACCTAAATGTAAAAATAAATTCGTTTGTTAATTCTTAGTACATTAATGGCTTAATGAATAGTTAAGAATTTTGATAAACAGTATTTGGGATAAAGCAGTACAGAGCATTTTTTACTCAGTCAATCGATTGTCGCAGTTGCGCGGACGAAGTGGCAGATAATATAATTTTTATGTTGTAACGGATATAAAATAACATATAATTGGCATAAAGTAGAACAAAGTTTTTATAACACAGGGACAAACAAGCATGCGGCTCACCTGATGGTAAGTTACTACCACCGTCCACGATCACACGCAACACCAGAGTCATTGTAGGTGTGCTACCGGACTTTTAAAAAGGAATATGTTCTTGAAGATTATGTTGTCGTATCGATTCGGAAATATTGCTGCTGGAAGTTGATTCCAAAGAGTGTTTGTGCGTGGAAGAAAGTGCCTTGAACAACGCACCGTGGAAGATCGCCACTTATCTAGATGGTTGGGATGGAACTTTAGTTTGTGGTGGACTGTACGGTGGTGAAATTTAGCAGTAGGTATCATTTAGAACAATTCTTTAGGCTACTAATAATAATATAGCCTTTATTCGGATCAATTTAGTACATTAAAAACAAACATAAAATTAAAAAAAAAATCTTGAAATAACTTATTCTAATAATTGTTTTTTGCTTATTTTTTGAAGATCTGTTTGCCATTTGGCAAAGGCCTCCTCCAACCGTTTCCACTCTCGCCTATCCTGAGCCACTCTGTCCCACATTTTTCTAGCCACTTCCCTGATGTCATCATCCTATAGACTACTAATACAAGGTTACATATTCAAAGTTCATATCTTCTATAAGGTCCAGTGTGTTATAAACTTCGTTCTGTTTTTCGAATGCTATCTCTCGAGTGGTGGCTCCATTGAAAATCAGCGCTGTAGCACCACGCTGCAGCTTACGCTGAGTGGGGATCATTTCACCTGCTACCACATAATTGTTTTTTTTTTATACAACTTAGAATGGCAAACAAGCTGACGGTCCACCTGATGGAAAGTGGTAACCGTCGCCTACAGACATGAGCAGTACCATGGACATAACAGAGTATACTGTTTCGCCCATGATGCCCCCCATGCGTTGCCATTCCTGAGGACTCAGGTGTTATTCCTCTGTACCCAGTAAATTCACGTCATCCTTCAAACTGAAACACAGCCATGCAAACACAATTGCTTCACGGTTGAAACACGAATAAAACAGAGGTACTCAAGCAATCGGCTTTTAATTAATATTGACTATTTAATTAATAAAAAATTTGTATTGTGGCTGAATAAACGATTTATTATTATTATTATTAATAATCTTCTATAAATTTACTATAAATAATAATTTTATTAATGTGTTGAAGTTTGTTATCTCTTGGCACTTTAATGGCTTAACCAATCTCTATGAAATTTAATATACAGGTACTACATAGGACGAAGAAAGACATAGGCTAATTTTTATTACGGTTAGTGAACATATTTCGTTTACGTGAACGAAGACGCACGTAAAAGCTAGTGTAAAATGTTTTACATGTTGAATTATGCTTATTTTTAATGTGGCTGGTAGGCATGTAACTATGTATAAACAGAACAAAGGTTTGAAACAAATCGATACAATGTCAAGGTTTGAGAAACACTTCCTGTCACCGAGGTTTAACATATATTATTATTTAACGCATTTTATGTGCCAACAATCTCTCATATATGGTAAACCCCGGTTACCCTAAATAGGCCTTAAGGGTATTATTGTTTTAATATTAATTCCCTTGATACCGTCACATATAAAAGACAATGTCCTGTTTACAATATTTGTAACGTCAGTTTGCTCGTAAAATAAGACATAAAATAAATAGGATGGGACCAACAAGGAAGTTGGATTGTAAAAAAGATAATATGAATCGTTTCAGAACAGGCCACGTGATCTCGTAACAGGATAAATTGGATTAATTAAGAATATCCATTTTTCAGAAGTCGTTTAAAAATTAACTATTTTATATATTTATAGGAAACAAGTTGTATTTCCTCGATAATAAAAACATACACACATTACACGCATAATAAAAATTTTATCATGATAATCATGAATTATGTATAAAATTGTTGAATGTGAATGTTACTTAAAATCATTGATTCCATTCCTTTATATACTACATTAAATGTAAATAAATATAATTTCACTTTAATTTAATTTTAATTTTAGTTTAATTTAATTTGTTTTTCATTTCATTTGCGTTTCATTTCAGATTAAAACGTATATACTAAAATATATAGTAAAAATGTCTTCTAAGGACCAAAATATTTTTATTCATTTCAATTTCTACAGCACTATAAAACGAGTGCCATTTTTTTTGATGGGTGAAAATGGTATGGTACCCCGCCTGCGCTAACGGGATACGCTGGCGGAGCACCAGTGAAGGGTGATAGATGAGAATGAAAACAGGCCAGTTAGCCCATCATGATAAATTCATAAGGAATTAACTATGATAGTTTCCAGGGAGAACCGCGAAGCGGTCGACCTGGTTGGGTATATTGCTAGCAATAGTATTCTCAGTTTCCAATACTAACAATTCCTTTCAGTTTGATAGTTTGTAGGTAATCATTCTAGAGTAAAAAAAAAAAAAAAAAAAAAACTATTTTATTCTTTCCACTAAGAGATGGTCAGAAAGATAAAATGGACAAAAATTAAATTTATAAAGCGTTACTAAAAACCAGTCAAGTGCGAGTCGGACTCGTGCAACGAGAAATTCGTACAAAATCATAATTATTTTTTTTTTAATGAAATAACTTACAATTGACGGTTTTCGGATATTTTACTTTACTTGTACTACACGACATTGCTTCTTTCCAAATTTCATGATTCTAGGTCAATGGAAAGTACCCTATATATTTTGACAATCACAATTGTCAAAATATGCGATATAATTGGAAGATAAACGGCCGTATCTTTTGATTGCGTCGATTTAGAAGCTTAATTTTTTCACTGTATTGAGAGATTGCAGACCCGAGCATATGTTATTATTATAATTTGAACTTGATACCTCCACGAGATCTTAAGAAAAAGGGTCTTGACAGACGGACGGACGGACGGACAGATAAACAATGAAGTGATACTATAAGGGGTTTTTCTTTTATTGGTATGGAAGCCTAATAAAGGAAAAAATCTATAAAAGCGTGACCTGGATTATACTGGATAGTAAAAAATATATTGGCAGTCGTAAATAAGAGGATTGGAATGCGACAATTCGGTGTTACTATGTGTTAGTCAACTGTAATTTATCTTTAAACTATCAACTTACACCAGTAACATAAACAAGTTTAACAAAGCACTCGTATTTAGTCAACAGCAGCTGTAAACTGTGGATTTACTCGCAAATCGAAACTGGAAAAGCAGATGTGTGTTGACATAGAAGTTTAATTTTATACAGCTTCAAGAGATCGTAGACTTGAGTATTTCATATTAATTTTAGCTTTTCCTCCACGCGTTTCTAGGAAATAATCTTGACAGATAGACAACGGGGTGATCGTATAAGAGTTCCGTTATCTTTTCGATGTACGAAATTCTACAGACAAAAAAAGTTAATAAGTGACAATAAGAATAATAAGCGATATAATAAATGACTAATACGTTAAACAAGTGATATCACATTTTTATACTTTAATATTTGTGACATCAATAAAAAATAATAGACAGCAATGTTGTGGCGTTTCAATCCAAGAAATGTCTGTGGTTGACCATTTTATGAATTAATGAATTGCGTAAATTTGTTGTGATTAGTTTATTAAACATACGGTATATTTACCAACAGTTTCGACGCAGAAAAAAATGAATTCAATAGTTATAAACATATAACTCAAAATCGGTGAAAGTAGCGTTCAATACTTTTTGCCGTGTCAGCGTCGATATATAATACAGGCAAAGGTCTCCGGACTAGAACAGAATTTGGTACACAGATATGTACAAAATTTCATTTAAATCCATTTTTGTATCCGATTTAGTGTTATTACAATTCCACATTTAGGTATAATGGCAGATTAAAGATAGAAAAAGAACTGGATTACTTGTACTGTAGAAAGGAGTATAAAGTGTAGGTTAGTAACCCATTATTTCCATTCAATAGTCCTTAATGGAGAATTAATCTAATTATATTAAAATTGTCGTAGAAACACTATCTAAATACCTATTTGTAATAAATCCAAATTTCAATAAAATAATCAATTTTCGATTTATCTACTATTCAAATAGTCTGTTCTTACTATTTGATTGGACATCAGCATATACTAAGATAGTTTGCTGATGATTATTGTAAATAGTTAGTTAATTATTACGTTATTATGGAAACAAACTATAGTTTACTGCTTATCCCGAGAGAGCTGCATAGATTTTGCTACAACATAATGTTAGTAAAGGATTCAAAATCAGAATAAACATAAGCGAAATAGAATATTAAGTTACCTGGCTGACTCCACACAGTAGCAACGTCCAGTTTAAAGTTGCCGAGTAATTTGTTCGCGCGCAAAATATTGCGAGACTGCAGGACCTGTGAGAAACATTACAATCATTGCATGACACACGCTAACTATGGACAAAGGAAAGTGGTAATCAATATTTCACATGAATACTTCAATATAATGAGCTATTGACCACAATTCCCTTGTAATTCTTTAATATAAGATCTTAACAGTGCGAGGTATCTACATATTATTACGTAGTACTATGGACACATATTTTTTTGAGAATGTTAATTTAATTTTTTACTTTTTCTTACTATAAATTATATTAAGAAAAAAAAAAATTAACGAATAACACAAGTTTTAAGGTATTAATTTAGTTTAATATAAATTTTATTAATATACTGTATGTCAAAGAATTGGATTCAAAATTTGTTTTCGTTATATAAATTCGTGAAATTTTATTTTTTAAATTAAATTAACAGCTCTTTCGTTCAATTTCCTAAAGTGGTTGGCCATTAAACAAAATTAGACGAGAAATAATACTTGGCGCTGGAATTGAGACTTGTGGTTTTTTGTTGATATTTTTTTTAATTGCAACTTATAATGGCAAACAAGCTGACAGTCCACCTGATGGAAAGTGGTAACCGTCGCCTATAAACATAACACAGTACCATAGACATAACAGAGTACACTCTTTCGATCGTGATACCCCTCATACGTTACCATTCCTGTGTACTCAGCTATTATTATATATCTCTATACAAGGAGTAACTTGACTAGACCCAACATTTACTGTTTACTGGCAAAACCCTATGCGATCTACCAATTACATTCTTCTTGAAATCTCAAGAGAAACAAAATACTTCAGTACACAATTATGTAATAATGTAGTACTTTTTATTTGTTAAAAAAGTAAACGTAAAACTGAAAATTATTCTTAGTAACTACTTATTTATATTAGTGTGAGTATTGCGTCTAAGCATCTTTTGTTAGATTAGCAAATTATTATATTTTTGCCTTCACACGATCGACTCGATTAATAGTCGCGATCGAATTTGTTCGATATTAATATAACCTATAATAATATAAGAATAATTCGAATCAATTTTCATCGAATAAATCTTTCGCTTGTAATGAACAATATATTTTTTATACAGAATAATAAAAATAATGCCATGAGACCCCGCCATAGATTGGGTCACCTTTTCCTTTTCCATAAGGGGGTTATGGCAGAGGCCTAAGTTCAGCAGTGAATAGTTAATAGCTTATATGATGATAATAATAAATATATTTTAAGATTTTGTTTCGTAAAAAGACTGCTACTTCAATCGTGTATTGAGTAATTTGGGACTAACACGTAAGTACATAAAGCTTATTGATAAAATAAAAGAAGATAAGATAAAAGAACTATTAAAATCGGTTTAGATTTAGTGAATATATCGCGTAATATAGGCACAAAAATAATTGAGATATACACTCTTTTTTTAAATTGATGTTTTTAAAGTATTTAATTATTCTATTATCAGATTCTAAGTATTCTAAAATATAATTTCATTACTAGTTGACAAATTTTGAAAATAACCCATATTCCCTAAACTAGTGACCATTTTCAAAAAAATATTCTTAATTGATTTTCCAATATTCTATTATAGATAAAATCTAGGATTTTATTTAAAAAAGGCTCATTGCACCACAGAATATTTGAATTAATATTCCAATCATGATTTATTAGAATGGAAAATATATCCATCTTCCAGAGGACTCAAGTCAATTTATGCTACTTTTGCAGCTTTGTTTCTGTTTATTACATATGACAGTTATTTGTCGGCGACTCCACGGGGTTTATGACTTGCACGTGACACCCCTTACGTTGTTTCGCATAAGTTAAAGTCGACCTTGGGTGCCTGCTTACCATCGAAGGAGTTTCTTAGTATAAAAAGGGTCGGGGCTTTTCTATTACCAAATAGAAAATATATCTATCTACATTTAGTCATCTTATCCACTATATTTTTATTGCAGACTCGTAAACTAGAAAACTATATTATCTAAATGATCTGTACCTACATTCAATGATACGCAAGAATTTAAAAACATCCTTACAATGCTATCAAATAATCATTATCATTATCATCATATTAGCATTTAAATTTCCGTCGCTGAACATAAGCCTCCCTTTTAGGAGGGTTTTGCCAGTAGTTGCCACACTTGCAGGCGGATTGGCAATCGCAGTCAGGCTTTAGAGATGTTTTAAGAGGGACGCTTCTGCCAATCTCTTATTTTTCCTTAGTTGGCTCTTACGACACTCATGGGAAATGAAGGGCACACGGCAAATATTTATCAGACAATAATGTGATTAAATATATAATTTTGGAAAGTTAGTATATATATTATAAAATTATTATTAAGTGATACGGAGTCATTATTTTACCTTCCTTTTATTTGAATTTACTTTTATGTAGAGAGAAATTGAAGTCGTTAGCTGTACTTAATATTAAGATTTATCTATGTTATAGAATATAATAGTAATTGAAAGTCATCATTATCATCTTTTTGTTCTTAATCCTATTATTTGTGATCAGAGTAATAATTTTTCTCCTCCACTCTTTTCTATTTGCTATCAATTTGCAGTCACTCCCATTCTGATTATATCATCTTTTATACAAACCGCCTATTTATTTGACATTAATAAATAATTTATTTTAAAACATTTATTTTTGCAATTGATTTAGTTTCTTTTTGTTTTCTTTATTAATTATTTCTTTATTATTTATCTTTGAAATGGTGGCAAAAATTTTGGTCTGATTTATTTTATCAGAACATAATCTTATATACCTGTTGCTAAACGGTATCTGTTAATTAAGACACCTTTGTTTAGTTGCAAAATTCGTATTATTAAAGTTTCTTATTAGTCATACACGGTAATAAATCCTTAACAACGAGTAAGTAAAGATTAGGAGTAACTGACTAAAAGTTTAAAGCTGACTTTTTAACTATAGACTGTGTATAATCATTAACAACGTACCTTAATAAAGTTTTGCGTTTACGAGCATTGGATTTTACGGTATTAATAAATAAGTATATATTTGTCTTAATTACAAACATGAATTTCTAATGGGTTCAGAACACTATTATATGCCAGCATTATAAACAGTACGTTGGATTGTTTCCGAAGTGGCTGTATAAATTTTGTATATGTCCCATTGTGCACGTTTCAACGTCAAGCAACATGTGGAATTGGAGCCACTAATTGAAATTACTCGATCCACATAATGTGGACACAAAGCGCTGAATTGAGCGGAAATAGAATCATGCAATACAGTTAAAAATGCATTTGCTTAATTGAATTCTAACTGGCATTGTTTAGTACACAGTCGTAGTGCAGAGAATTAGTATTGCATCGAGGGCTTTCAACTACAGGGCAAGGGTTTAAGCGTGTTCTGATTAGGTTTTAAATTAAACAAAAAACTGTTCATCCGTCTATCACTGCGCTAAATTCCAGCAACTACTATTGCTATGGATTTAAAATATGGAATAGTTTTACATATTGCCCGTCCACATATGGGAATAATTAAAACAAAAAAAATATTTCGAAAGGGGGTCCGAAATGGATACTCCGAATGGACCTACCTATTTCCTCTATCTACAAAGTTTCTGAAGCGAAAAATAATTACGCATTACAGTAACAATAATAACTTCTATTAAGTTCTATGCGTAAAAAAATAAATAACGTTATTTTAATCATACAGAACCCTCACACCTGATCTTTTTTATTTTTCTGAAAAGTCGTACCATAGTGATATAAAAAAAAAAAATTAACAGCCAATACCTAGCAGTGTAATGTTAATAGGTAATATTGCAATATATTATCAATCGACTTTAAAATTAAGGAAGATCTCAATTCGTTAGTTTTTTTTTATGTTTGCAACCTCATAACTCCGTCAGTTCAAAACCGATTTGGAAAACTCTTTATTTTTTCTGAAAGGATATGCTTATAGATTGGCCCCATAGGAATTTTATCAAAATCGGTTTTATAATTTAAGTTTTAGATCAATACAACCGATTTTTTTATGGGATACCATCTTTAATTATTTTATACGTATAGACAAGCAATTTGGCCTGGCTTTATACAGGTAGATAGAATTTTTGAAATTAATATATAGCCTGTGTTACTCCCTGATAATGTAACTTTTTATAGGTAAAAGAATTTTTAATATCGGTTGAATAGTTTTTGAGTTTATAATTTATAAACAAGTATCAACTCTTTCTTGTTTGTAATATTAGTATAGATAGGTAACATAACATAGGCACGCTGGATTTTATTATAACTTGACAAAGGAATCTCTTTTCATTTATAACATTATAACTAGCAAGAAGACCTTCTTACTTAGATAAACATGCTATAAATACAAGTAATACATAGAAGTAAGTAAGCATAAGCATACATTAATTATATAAAGCAAATATTGTTTAATACGAATAATGATAAAGGGTAGACTAGAGGGAGACTTTGTACAAAAGTCGCTTGCTTGGGTACCTTTGTCCCATTCGTGTTTCAACCGTAAAGCAATTGTGTTTGCATGGTTGTGTTTCAGTTTGAAGGGTGGGATATGGCGTGAATTTACAGGGTACAGAGGAATAACACCTGAGTCCTCATGGGGCAACGAAACAATATATACTCTGTTATGTCCATGGTACTGCTCATGTCTATAGGCGACGGTTACCACTTTCCATCAGGTAGGTCGTCAGATTGTTTGTCTTTCTAAGTTGTATAAAAAAAATGCACTCGTATATAATGTTTTCTGACGATATAAAATGAATAGTCGATTGAACGTTTGAATACTGCCCTTGATTCTGGTAATAAGAATTGAATAATCTTAATTTAATTAGATTTTTTGAATTGTCATTTTAAATTATTTAACCGACATCATAAAAAAGAACATTAATTAAGGTAAAGGACAAACAAGAATGAAAAGCCTTAATATTTTTGCTATACATAGAGCAGGAATAAGATTATAGATAGCTATAAAAAGATTATAATTTTCGCAAGTGATGGCGATAAGATTTCGCAAAAGCGGTTCGCCTTGCA